CCACCCAGAGGCACCTTGAAAGAAAGAGCTGGCCTTCAGCCGTGGGAAGGTTCCAGGGACGGAAACCTTTTCTCTGACACACATGGGGTCCCCGTGGGTCAGAATGGGCTCCATGACAACTAGTTTAGTGTTTTGTAACATTTGTGCAACATGACATGATGTTATATAACACTTCCCATCATGTAATACAGTCAATCTTACCACTGTAGGGTGGATCTTAAGCTGCGCAATATCTGACTTTCTTCAACCTCTCTCTCACTGCCATCGAGTCCACGCTGACTCATCATGCTCCTTTAGGACAGGGGGGAACTGCCCCTGTGAGTTTCTGAGCGTGTGACTGTTTATGGCAGTAGAAAATCCTGTTTTTCTCCCAAAGAGCAGCGAATGGTTTAGAAGTGCTAACAGTGCAGTTAGCAGCCCAACTCAAAACCACTATGCCACCAAGGTTCCTTCTGATTTATAAGAAGACAAGGATACACACACACACACACATACACACACACACAACAGGTGAGGATTGTCTACAAATAAAGAACCACCAAGAATTGTTGGCAGTCACCAGAACTCAGAGAGGGCTCACAGAAGTCATCAACATATGCCAGCTCCTGAATTGGACATTCAGCCCCCAGAGCTGTGAGAAAAGGAATGTTTGTTCTTTGAAGTCCCCCGCTGGTGGGGCTTCTATTACACCCTCCCAGAGCCCTCAGTAGCCCTGGTAAGTCCACCAGCACCAATGATAACATCAATGATAGCACCAGTGATAACACCAATGATCGCCTGGGCAGTACAAGTTCACTCACCTGGGTCCTCTCACCTGGACTTCAGGAGGGGTGTGTCTCTGAGGGAAAAGTGGCAAGGGAAAGGGCTCAGGGGGCAAGGGCTGGTACTTCTTTGGAAGACTCATGGGCAACCTGTGTGAAGACAAGAGAGTTGGCTGAAGAAGCAGCCCCTAGACTAGATTCACACTCAACAGCTGTGCCCTCAGTGCCCCCAGCGTCCATATAGGGATTTCCACTTCATAGTGCTCACTACTTCCCAGAGAGCTGGAACCAGATAGCTACAGATCCTGGAATCGTCTCTCTACTAATGAGCCTAAGATGACCTCCCTGTGATTGACTCATCGGTATGCTGTTGTTTTCTAAAGAGTATAATATAAATTTCTACAGTATGTCATGCAATTTTCATTATAGCAACCATTTAAGTTTTAGGAGCTATGGGGTGCTATGCCACCTTTTCACAGACTGCAAACTCTGAGGTTCTAAAACCTTCCAAGGAAGTATGAGGATAGTTGAAGTCAACATATTTCTCACTCACCAACTTATTTATCCAGTCCCTCACTCCATCACACAGTGGCTAATATGTGTCAGGATTATGGTAGATGGTAGAGATGCAGAAAGGAAAAGGCACAGTTCTTAGTTCAAGATGCCTCTCTCCATGAGGGCAAAGGGAGAAGGAAGTGGACGCTTATGATGGAGTGTAATCTTACTGAGGGAGACAGAGTCAAAGGGCATGAAGAGAGAACAGACGTGGGTCCAACTCAGAGCATCAGCAGTCAAACCCACTGCTTTCCCTTATATCTACCATCCATCTGTCTACCCATCTCTATCCATCCTTCCATCCACTCACTCACCCATTCATCAGTTAATTCACCCATCCACATACTCATACATACATCTGTCCATCCATCCACTCATCCATCCATCCATCCATCCATCCATTTTCTAGGTTTATTCAATGGCACCTAACAACAACACGTGTGTGTGTGTGTGTGTGTGTGTGTGAATGTATGAGCCATGATTGATGTGTCTTATATGATAACTTATTTTATCTCCATAAAGACCATAGGAGAAAATGAGAGGTGCCCCATAGAGTGTGTGGATCACCTAAAATCATACAGTGGAGCAGAGCAGGCTAAGATTGGGGTTTGGCGGCTCTGGTATTCCTGGTGTCTTTGTTGCTTGGTGTGATATTTCAGAGTGTCTCAGTTTGGGTTCCTCCCCAAAGGCAAACACAGCAAAATGATTGGAGTGTTTTGCCCCATAATCACAATGAAGAAATGGAGACATGAGATGGGCCACCTTGCCAAGAGTTGCAGTGGACAGGTTAATGAATGAGCTTCCTTTGAGGGCTCCTGGTTGTGTATGGGGCTGATAAACACAAGGTCAGGAGTTCAAAACCACCAGCTGTTCCATGGGAGAAAGATGAGGCGTTCTACTCTCGTGAAAGGGTTATAGTCTTGGACAGTTTTACGCTGTCCTACAGGGCTGCTATGAGTTGAAATCAACTAGATGGCAGTGAATTTGTTTCTTTTTTGGGGGGGTAGGTGGGGGTGAGGTGTCATTCATATGGTGACTACCTGCGGGACTCAGCATATGTCTCAGAAATGCCCACTGAGAAAGAGCAACCCAGGGTATTCACCAGGACTCCCCATCCATCATTGATCAAGGGAGGTTACCAGAGGATCCATGCCCTTGGCTTCCATGGCCAGGAATATGTGGGCACCAAGGTTATTCCCAAAACAGAGGGTCAGTGAAATGGTAGTAACTGACTCAAAAGGTATCAACGTTATTCCTTACAGGTCCCCAGACGGTGGTTTTAGGGCCCTGAACACTTCAATGTAGAAACACTCAATCTGCCTGCATCCCTCATTGTCATTTCGCCTCTGAGAAAAATACTCACCAGATGAGCCAGAAGACTGTACTGCTTGGATGAGAGGCCAATGGCATGGGCTTGTGGGGCGCAAAAAGGCACTGGTTGTACATTAACCACTGCTGTGAAGTCAATTCTGACTCCTGGGGACCCCGGAGGGCATGCTGTCATCTCTGACAGCATTGTGGTAGTGAGCTGGGCTGCTAATGACAGGGCCGGCAGTTAGAATCTACCAGCCGCTCCAAGGGAGAAAGATGTGGCTTCCTACTTCCATTAACTTTTACAGTCTCAGAAACCTACAGGGTCAGTCTCTCCTGTCCTATAGGGCCACTCTGAGTCAGAATTGACTCGATGGCAGTGAGTTTGGTTTGGTTTAATCTATGGAAGCCAGATGACACATCTTTCTCCTTGTGGAGTGGCTGGTGGGTTTGAACTGCCAATCTTTTGGGCTATCAGCCAAGTACTTCAACCACTGCCTCCCCAGAGCACCTTCGTTGTCATAACCCACTGCCACTGAGTCGATTCTGATTCACAGCGACTTATAGGACAGGGTGGAACTGCTCCTGGGACTTCTGAGATTGCAAATCTTTATGGAAGCAGGCAGTATCATCTTTCTCCCTCAGGGCAGCTGGTGAGTTTGAACTGCCCACGTTGCTGTTAGTAGCTTACACTGAACCCACTGCACCACCAAAGATCTATAGTAGGTAGCAGTAAGTGTTTGTGACACACAGTATGGTTGTGGTTGTTAAATGAATTAAGTGTCTTATCATGGTTTAAATGCCTTCTATGCTCATCAATTTTCAAAATGCGTTTGAATCAGTCCTCAATGTCCCACAGCAAACAGGATTGTCTCAGGTCTTTGTTGCTATGTTTAGTTTTTCTTATACGAATCAATGGACTTTCATAACTTGCTATCAATAGTCCTCTTCGGATGTGAGAACCATCAGCTAATATAAACTAGAACGTGGAAAGTATTAGATGTCATTGAGACGATGGCTTTAATGATGGGTGTCAACCTACCAATGATTGTAATCATGGCCTAGGGCGATAAGGTTGTGATACATAAAGTTGCCATAGGTCCCTATGGGTTTCCCATATTATAACTCTTTATGGGAATCAAACACCTCATCTTTTCCATGTAGAACAGCTAGTGGTTTCAAACTGCTGACCTTGTGGTTAGCAACCAATACATAACCACTACACTGACAGAGCTCCTGTCAATTGCTAGTCCCTTGAGGAAGTGCCCCTGTCTTATATATTCATATTACTACTAATTGACAGATGTCCTGATTAAACACAAATCTGAAAATGTGAAGCCATTGCTTCTTGACACACCCTCTATCTGCAACTAAACATGTCTGTAGGTGCTGGTTCCACCTCTCTAACCTTCCTTGAAGAAGTTTGTGCTGTTTGATTTACACCATGTCAAAAGGAACACTCTGGGCATCCCGAGGGACTGAAAATGTGTTTGCTTGTTTTCAATTTTTTTTTTAAATTCGGGAACAAAAATAAGTCTTAGAGGGCAAGATCAGAACTGTAGGGTGGCTTGGGTGAGGTTTCCCAACAACATTGTCACGGGGCAGCCCTTGCTACCCATTAGGAAAGGGCAGGTTCACTGTTGTGATGGGAAGAAATGGCGAGCTGCACATTTCCTGCTCTTTTTCTCACCAACAGTTTTTTCTTCAAAGTTCTTCCTCAAGAACCCCATGGTCATCCCATGTATTTTGAGAAATTGTATCAAGATTACTCCTTTTGAACCACCCCAACTGGCCATCATAACCTTTGGTCTGAATTTGTCCTTGCCCAGTAAATCCCCTCAGGAGCCATCATTTTGATATGATCCTATTTTCGAAGGCACTCTATGGAGACTAGGATAAGTGTCTTACTGACAGAACTTGTCTGCAGCCGCCTACTGATCGCGGAGATATATATACACACTTTGTTTGGAACACACCCACACATCTATGAAGTGGGACCCCTGTTGCACAATGCTTTTCTGACTACCTGTCATAAGTACATGGCAAAACAAATAGAAAGTCTCTTACCATGGAGGTGGTACAGGAACCTGCAAAAGAAGAGTCAGTAGAAATTCAATTTATTGTTCACTGAGCAGGGCTGGTGTTTTACAAATGTAGGATTTGCTTACAGAAATGGCAAATCCCAGCCAAATTTCTCAAACATACTTTTTCTTGAATAATATTTTTATTGACATATCATACTCATTCCAATATTTCCGTTCCTTTCCCATACAGTCAAACATATTTTTGAAGTGCTGTTTAAGCTCTCACATTGTCCATACTTCCACACTCCTACAGTAAAAAGTGGATGGCAGGTGTCAATATTTCTCTCACCTTGACTCTTTTTATGAGTTTGTCACCTAGGAAACAAGAGGGAATACCAGTGAATGGGTGAGGAATGTCATCAAACACTACATATCTATATATCTATATCTATATATTTGAATGGGAATATATATATATATATATATATATTTAAATGGGAATCGTACCCATTTTCTAACAATGTTGATGATAAAGACAATGATTACCCTTGTTGGGGTAATGGAGAAATGGAGGCATGGGGGATGTAAGGGTCTTGCCTACAGGAGTAAGTAGCAGAAGGGGGAAGTATGCCATTGCATGCAATATTACCCTTGTTGTACCGCTTTAACCACCATTTTCTGATTAGAATTCACAGCCCTTCTATGTAGCAATCTCATTAGTCTAAGTTTCTGCTGAATTCATTGGCTCTCATGGGACTTTTAAGGCAGAAGGATCATTAGAGACCGAAGAATCAAACTCTTATCTTATGGGGTAAAACCAAGGACAAACTAGGTAAGGCAATGGCTTAGATAATCCAGTCCTACAAAAAGCCCAAGAAAGGCCTGGAATGGATTTTGCAGACTTGTCGATCGTTTTACTTCCACAACGAAATGAAATGCAGACAGAATTCTTGAACTCCATTCTGAGTTTCCAGTCCCTGGAGAAGGACCTCATGCTTGGTAAAGTGGAGGGGCGGGGGGGAAAAGAGGAAGACCCTCGATGAGATAACTGGCACAATGGCTGCAACGAAGAATTCAGGGAGAGCTCGTGGCGTTGTGAGGATAGGATAGGCCTGGGGAGTGCTTTGTTCTCTTGTGCATGAGGTTGGTCTGGGTTGGAACAAATGCACCTAATGGCACCTAATGGCAACCACAACCATTCTGAGCTACAGACTTGTTATGAGCAACCCTGACTCATGGCAATCTCATACAGGGCAGAACTGGCCAATTGTGATCCACAGGGTTTAAAGCAAAATTCCCAACAGTTTTATTGGTATGTAATTCACATATTACACAATGCAATTTTTCAATCACATCAAGACGTGATGTACCATTATCACCAGCTCCCCATTTCCCCCAACCTCCCCTGCCATGCCCCAAGGAACCATTAATCCAGTGGCTGTCTATAGATTTACCTCTCCTGGATTTCCTATACAAAAAAAAAAAAATTACAAACCAAACAAACTAACAAGAATAACAAAGTAAAAAAACAGATAAAAACCTCAACAGAAAAGAAAGTATAAAATATTAAAAATGAGAGCAAATTTAATGGATGCTAAGGGAGATCAAATGACAGTGTGCTACATTTTTACTTAACTCCACCTGCAACAATCCACTTTCCAGTGCATTCTGTATGACAGCGAGGCGATTCACATCCCCGATTCACGGTCAGCGGGGATTAGCAGGGGCTTAATCCTTGTGTATTTCCCCTTCACCATTTTAAAAAACTGAAACAGCTTTAAAATGGGCCAGAAGGGCGAGCAAATGACAAACAGGGCTTTTATTAGCTGATGTTCATAAAGAGATAACCATGTCATCCATACTAGTGTGTCTTAGTGTAACAGATCCGCTGAAACCTGGTTAGCATCACAGCAAAGCACAAGCCTCCTTCGACCCACGGGTAGAAGTTGTGGCAGCAGTGGGACTCAGGTCGCTGCCTAGAAGGTGAGAACTCTATAACTGAAGCCCCCCTGCCCTCATGGTATGACATTTTCTATTATTAAATGTCATCGAGTCTGTTTAGACTCAATGACCGCATGCACCACAGAACGACACATTGTCCCTTCCTGTGCCGTCCTCACAGTCATGGCTATGTTTGAACCCCTATGTTAACCCATCCTACCGAGGGCCTGCCTCTTGTTGACTAACCTTCTACTGCACCAAGCACGATGTCATTCCCCAGGGCCTGGTCCTTCTTGATAACATCTTCAAGTACTGAGACCAAGGTGGAGCATTCTCACTTCTAAGGAGCAGTGTGGTGATCGGTCTCCCAAGACAGATCTCTTAGTTCTTCCGGCAGGCATGGCTTTGCCAACACTGTAATTCAATCAGTAGTCCTTATTCCTCGTCCACCTTCACATGCCTATGAAGCTTTGTAAATACTATCACTTGAGTGAAATGCACCCGAGTCTTCAAAGTGATATCTTTGTTTTCTAATGTATTAGAGAGTCCTTGTGCAGCAGATTTGCCCAATATAGCACGACATTTAATTTTATTTAAATTCTAAACTCCTGTAAGGTTTTTTAAAAACAATTTTATTGGCACTTAGTCCACATATCACATAATTCAAGAGTTCAATCGCATCAAGAAGAGTTGTACAATCATCACCACAATCCATTTTTCTCCCTTCACAAAAGTGATTTTGGAGAACATAGATCAAGCACATGTGTTTGATAACTTTCTCTAACAGAAATTACACCTACTGGCACAGCTGACCAGTTTCGGTCTCTCCTCGCCATGTAGCAAAGGGCAGACTAGAGGCTGGGTTCTCTTCAGACAAGCCAGTCCCAGAGCGAGTGCAGAGGACTGACAACAGAGCAGGTACAGCTTCTTCTTCTAAACCCACTAATAGTCTGACTCTCCTTCTTTCTCCTTCTTCGGGGGGCGGGGGGCGGGGGAGGGAGAAGGAGAGACAGTGGTGCTGTCCACATGAGCCAAGAAAAATGCATGTCCTCCCCCCAAGGACAAAGGGTGGGGCTTCCTCTGACATCCTAAGGAGAGGTGAGCTCCACATCCACCCACGGAAGGCTCCAAGGGGGCAGAGGTCAGGTGTGCTTCCCTATCCATCTTCACTTATCCTATTCTGGTCCCCAGACTCCTTGTAGGAAGTCCTTGATGTGGTCTTCGTTCATTGGTCATCAGTGCAGCAAATCTATTCTTGAGAGAGGGTCTCTAAACTTAGGTGGGATAGACTACAGACTGTGTTTCAAAACAGTTGATGGCCTTTCTGCAGCCAGCCTCTGACACTGTTCTGTTAGATGATACTGATTGACCCCCGTGTCTGTCTCCCAGATGGAGCTGATTTTATTGTATTCCAGTCTGCGAGGTCCATGTGTACAGTCTGCCGGTATTGTTGAGAAGACCATGGCAAGAAACAAGTCCTTGGCCTTGCAAATTTCTGTCATTGGATCCCCCAAGGTCATTTCTATCACCAAGGCTGGCTCCAGATCCTCCTTTGTTTTTGCTGGGTTTGACACAGATCTGGGAAGACCATTCTGATGAGGTTCCAGAGGAGGAAGGAGTCTTGTATCTGCTTTGTTTGTTTGTTTGTTTACCTGTGCCTTCACCACTGTGAATCTTTTGATATAATGCTCACTAGCTTCTCTTGTCTTCCCCAAAAGGTAATGTGTTCTCAACATCATTTAATATTGATTGCTCCCCTCACTACTTAAAGCCTTGTGCAGGATAGTATCAGCGATGTTAGCAAGAATGGTTGATGGTTCCAGCTCTTTCAAGCGTGCCCACTAGCAATCCTTAATACTGGGGCTTCACTTACTCATGGCTTAGGTAACTGAGACCCTACAAACTCAGAGGCCATTAAGTCTACAGCTTTACCTTGCAAACCAGGGCACCATGTCCACCAGGGGGAGCTATTGCCCACTGCCATTCAGCTTTGATCACTTGGATTTAGTGAGGATAACTCAGGTGTTTGGAGTCAAGGAAGGAGGTGAGATTTGGAGGTAGGTTTCGGTCTTTGCTCCTTAGTACGTGTGAGATGGTGTTGCTGTTCATAGCCATTGAGCCGATTGAGACTCATAGAGAACCTGTATGACACAGTAGGACCAACTCAAACCCAAGGTTTTCTAAGCCTTGGGGTTTATAAAGGTGGCTAACTTTTCGGAGGTCCTCCCCTTCACCAAAAAGTGGCTGGTGGTTTTGAACTGCTGACTTCGTAACTACAGCACCAGGGAAGCCGAGATTTCATTTTCATCTTCCGGACTTTGGGCAGGTTTTAGAATAGAGCAGTCCCTGGAGAAAGACATCATGTTTGGTAAAGCAGAAGGGCAATGAGGGAGGGGGAGGCCCTCGAGGCGATGGACTGACACACTGATTGACACACGGACTGCAACAAGGAGCTGAGGCACAAGAACCATCATGAGGATGACACAGCACTGTGCAATGCTTTGTTCTGTTGTGCAGAGCGTCGCAACCCTTGAGGCCCTAACAACAACAGTAGATGCTTATTGGAAAACCTGGATGGTTTGAGGAATGAAGTTTCCCCATTTGGAAAAGCAGGGAAGGATTGTCTGTACAGATACTCCTGCTTGGAATTGGGGTGCAAGGCATTTCAAAAGTGTGACTTCTAATAGAGACAGGGAGGGGACTTCAAAAAGGTCCAGAGTCCCTATTTCTCAACTCCATGTTCCCGTGAGTGTTTGGAAGTCCCTGGCCCTGTTACTGCTGTTATTGAGTAGTGGGGAATTAGAGAAGAAATGGCCATTTTCTCTGCAGACGACGCTGAGTTATTTCTACATGCTATGAAAAGTTTCCTATTAAACTTGGGAACACAGTTCATTGATTTCCCTAGGCATCCTCCTCTTAAAATTCATGGAGCTGGAGGCCGTGCATGCTCGCCCTCTCGTGGTCATGTGTGATTAGCACCACTGGCTCTGAGAAGATCCCTGTGTCAGACAAGCCAGCTCTTACCTGGACTGCACAAATTATTTCTTCCTGGAAGGTTAATTGAGCCCGGTGGACACAGCATGACCTAGGAGGCTGGTGGGCATTCATTCAGAGATTCTGGTATTAAACATTTAACCCTGCTGGTGGTCGACTTTGGTTGCTATTAATAATGAGCTGAGCTGCTTATCACACATTTCTTGGTCTGTCTGGTGTAGAGGTTATGCCTTGGCCTGCTAACCACAGGGCCTGCTGCTTATGACCGCTTTGAAGTGTTGAAGGTCAAGGATGTCACTTTGAGGACTAAGAGTGTCTGACACAAACCATGATATTTTCAATGGCCTCCTATGCATATGAAAGTTAGATATAGAGTATGAAAGACCAAAGAAGAATCAACACATTTGAATTATGGTACTGGCAAAGAAAGCACCTTCTGG